CTTAAAACCCCTCTAAAACACTCGATGGGAAAGCAGCATTCAAAGATATCAACTAGGAGTAATCTATGACGCTCTTGTTCAAATATCCGAAGGTGAATGCTTTTCAGAAGAAGTGCAACATGAAGCACAAAGTCTATGTGCCAAAATCAAGGATTATAAATTTATTTGTTCCTTTATACTTTCGCATGATTTGCTTAACAGGATTAATCCTTCAGCAAAGAACTGCAAGAAAAAGGGTTGAGTGTTACACTAGACTTATAATATAACAATAATTAACTTAAAAGCATTCACTGAAGAATATAGAAGTAGTTAGTATAGCGTAGAAACGTCCAGTTACAAAGTTATAAAGTATTTCTCCCACCTTCTTGGCGAGCCTTCGTGGTGTAGTGGTTAGCACACTGGGCCGGTATTCCAGACGTCCATGATTCGATTCCCGGCGAAGGCGTTTGCTAATTTTTCATCTTGCCTGCTTCCAAAAAATACCTAATGTCTCTACAGTGGCGTCTGAACTAAAAGGGTATTGGATTATGATTCTCCTTAACCAGGATTTGGTGATGGGGTCCCCTAAAAACCTGAGTCGCCCTTTAAAAGGAGTAGTATATAAGGCATTTCTCCCACTTTCTTGGCGAGTCTTTGTGGTGTAGTGGTTTTCACACTGGACCGGTACTCCAGAGGTCCGTGGTTCGATTCTCGGCGAAGGCGTTTGCTAATTTTTCCTCTTGTCTGCTTCCAAAAAATACCTAATGTCTCTACAAAGTATTCTTGAGAAATCCAAAGAACTTAGGGAAGAAGCGGGTGGCGATCCACAGTTTAAAACTATTGAAAAAAGTCCAACGAAAGAAAAAGAAATGTCACTTCAAACATGGTAACAAATTCTCTCAATCTCCAGAAGAGAAGTTTAGGATAAATATCTTTTTTAGAATTTTGGATATTGCTTGGACATCATTAAATGAAAGATTTCATGCAATTAAAAAAAAATCACTGCGATAATTTTAGTTTGCTGAGTAATTTATCAGAAATCGATAATATAAATTTCAAAATAAAATGCAGTAAATTAGAAAAATTGTTACAGTGGGGATAACAATAAAGATATTAACGCATAAGACCTTTATGAAGAAATAGAAGCTTCGAAGGACATTTTTACAGTCGGTATGAATGACCCATTCGATACTCTGAACTTAATTCTGTCAAACAATTTATGCTTCCTGAACTTGCAGATCATATTAAGAATACAACTTAGCATTCTTGTTAGTGTTGCTAGTAGCGAAAGATCATTGTCCAAATCATAATTGATCAAGACATATTTACGGTCAAGTATATCGCAGGACAGACTCATAAATCTAACTGTGATTGCAACTGAAAATGAAATCTGTTAAGAGATAGACGCAAAAGAAATTATAGAAAAATTTGTAAATAGGAAATGCAGAAAAATAAATTATTTTCGAAAAACTGTTAAAATAATCAGTAAATGCTTTCTTCAAAACTTCCTTCTCCTATACAAAAATTTTAAAAAGGGGGACGTGACTTCAGCTATTTTGCAGGCGGGCGCCGGATAACCTTGCGCCGGCGCTGGTTCTATCAGTCTATCATCTGGGGTTATAGTTTAGGGTACCATTAGCACTGTTACTCATGCCTAATATTCTACATTACAGGCACCCTCAACAGCAATCACTACATCTTAAAATTTTGCACCCTGTTGTCTTCCCTCCCTTTCAAGGATACCTGCTGCTAAGTTTCAATATAATCACAATATTCAACAGTTTTTCATTGCCTAGTGGGTCAATCTGCAGCCTTGGCACAAAAAAAGCACAAGGACAAAATTACAACAAAAATCTCAAATGCTTTTAAGGCCATACAAAGATGCAAAATGCTTACAGTCTGAGAAGATTGATGGCAGAGTATTTAAATTCAAAAGCAGCTCATCAAGCAGAATCTATTATATTAAAAAAAAAAAAAATTCAGAGCATGATTGTAATGAACACTGTTTGAAAATGTGTACACAGTGTAATATTAGCGTGCAACCATATACTTGTGAATGTATTGACTTTAGTATTCAAAATAATTTGTGCAAACACATTCATTCAGCAGTAATGCACAACAGAAGTGAAACAGGATATTCTGGAGCAATCATTAACTTCTGAAAAGAAGGAGTGCAAAATTCTTAAAAACCATACATACACTTCACATCTGAGAAATCAACTAATCATAATTTTTTTTAATTACTAAGAAATGAAATTAAAAAATCGTGCAATGAAAATAGCTGTAAATATTATTTGTTGAATATTTTATAGATAATAAAAATGCATAATGAAAATTTTTTGCATGCGCTTAATGTTGTAGGTAATTTCGAATGCTTCATCCCAAAACTTGAATTCTTTATGCAGATTTCTGAGAAAAGAAAAAAAAAAACTTAGCATTTATTAATGTGCATCCAACTATTTATTAATTTCATATAAGAATTTTATCTGGAATGTTGAATACTTGAAAATGCATTCACAGTCATCTACTTCCTTTTTTTTTTTTATTAACGAAACTGTTCATTCATACAATGCTCCAAAAACGTCATCCCTATTACAAACAATGCATATTTTCTTATAGCTTTAAAATTAGTTCCTTATTTTATCTCAAGAATGAAAACAGCAGCTTCATATAGCACTGAACTGCAGTTCAGAATTAATCTAATTTTTTTTTTTGATTCTGTATAAATTGCATTCATAAACTGATACAGCTATTACATAAAGAATAATAACTAACTGTACAGATATTTTTTAAAATGACACAGATGCTTAACAGTGTGATGTCCTATAAATTATTTCATGTATGTTAATATAACAAATGGACATTCAAAAATATTATTTTTTTGAAGCTCGAATTAAATAATCAATGAATCAGCAACCGCCAAAATGTAAAAACAAGCAGCACCAGAGGATATTTTCAGAAGGCATAATAATCTAATATAGTAACTTGAGATTGTAAAAGAAAATAAAATTAGACTACAAAACTATATCATATCTCTAAAAACTTCGTGAACACTTGCGTGTTTCCATCCATCAGCCATTCGCGATTACTCCGCCTACATGGACCTTATAAGAAATAGACTAACCCAAACGGGTTTTCTTCCTCGTCTGAGGCGTTGCCGGCTGTCATCTTTATCACATCTGGAGGAGTAGGGACGACTTGCAGAAATTTAACATTGGTTGCCTATTGCAGCGTGTATAATTTTCAAGAAAAAGCTGGTTGTAGCGCCTCATTTCACAAATTAGAATTTCTACATATTTTTATTTTTGAAATTGAGATTGATTTTTAAAAATTTAGCACATTTATCAAGTATAATTAACGTTCCAAATAATTATAAAGCTATTGCATGCTTTCAGGACTGGATATTTTTTTTAGCTTTTCCTATGCTGTAAGAAAATTTGTAACTACTTCTTTTAGAAAATAATATTTTAAATCTGAACTAATAGAAAATTTCAAACAAGCAATTTTCTCTTGCAACTTTTATGCTTTATTGGTGTATTACTTATTTAAAGTAAAAAATACTAAAATATTTAAAAACGAATTTTTGAAAGTTTTGTTTAAAATTCTAAATTGTGCTGCTTTTTTTAAATTATAGATGAGTATTACAGCACAATTTCTATAAAGGAATTGTATTTCAATTATATTTCATAATACATCATAGTGATAAACATTTTTCAATCCTTAAAAATTTTTATACGTTTAATTCTAATATTAAAATTGTATTTAACCGTAATAATTAATTATGCTTGTATTTTATAGTGATTATTTTTTAAAATTTATTTTTAGTTCTGCATAAGATTTTTTTTATTTACTGTTAATTTAATTTATTAGCCCAAAGGAGCGGTAGCCTAGAAAGGCTGTTAGTTTCGAAGCGGCATTTTGCGCTGTTTTACTATAAATATCCGTGTCTCCTTTCAAATTGTTGTTACCAAATATTATCGCCGTGTATTATATGTAAAGAAATTAAATAATGGACAATCTGCATGAATACATGTACGTTTCTTGCACTATGACAAAAACGACAGTATCTAGAGCCATCAAATTTTGAATAATGTAATCCTCCACCCGAACATAGGCATCTGGACGGCCGAATTTCGAATTTGTTTTAATCTATTTCATATTTTGTGAAACTTTAACGAATTTTTGATTAACAAACTCAACGAGTTCAAAGCGAGCACTATACGGAAAATAACAGTTTTATCTCCAGTGCGGAAATTCTAAAGATATGCTGTTTTCAAATGTATGTGTTTACGGGCGAAGAACATGATATTCAATAAATATAGGTAACACAGAAAACTTTAAAAAAAGAGTGCTTCTAGATTTTATTTTATCTTTTTTTCTTCCTTCATTACGCTCAGAAAATTTTATGATCCGAATTTTATGAATTATTAATATAACTAATTAACTTTAATATTAATAATTTAATGATAATATGTTTGTAATGTTATTATAGTTTGGAAAATCACTGTCTGAAAATGTTCATTAAATTTAAAAAAAAAATATCAGATCTTGTTTAATTTTTACCTTATATATTTCAAAGCATTGCGTACTATCAATCTTATTTAATTTTACTTAATTACGCAAAATTAAGTTCATAAATTTTGTGCTTAGAGTTTTTACCGTTCTACCAAAGTAAAGATGTTTGTACAAGAATTACGCGTGAAAAAAATGCGCGAAATGCATTAAAATGTGCTTTAATGAGATATATTAAATCCTATTTGGAAAAAACTGTGGCTTTCATAATCTCATCACTATATAACGTATCACATTTAATAATTAAAAAGAGTTATGTGATACAAACGCCGTAGGTTTCAGTGTTAAAGTAAACCAGATCGTCCCTACTCTTTCTTGCCGACAGGTCGGTGACGCGCGCTCCGCCTACTGGGTTTGTCTATCTCTTATAAGGTCCATGTCCGCCTATAAATACGTCATTTCCAAGTCAAACATAATTGGCCAACATCAGAAGGGTACGGCGCGGGGTCTAGCTTCTCATCATCTCCTTTATCTATTTTGTGTAAAACTAATTTTGAAGTGTGTAAGTCAAGTTACAACTCAGCTCGAGTAAATAATGGCGCCATTCAGTTGATTAAATTTGAAAATGTTTCCATATTCTTGAAAAGAATATTTACAAAAATGTGTGATAATGAAAGCACTGTTCGCTTATCATGGCAGCTAGTATCGCAATTTGTGAGCTGGGAATTTTGTCGGTACATAAGTGAACAAAATGAAAATCAAGGGTCTGAAGTAGATGTTTTGACATACTTACGAAGTGAGATTTACATTTATCAGTCGTATAACAATTGATTAGTGAAAATGAATATATAGCTATATATGTATAAATTATTATTTTGTGTACGTTGTGGTATAAATATATGTTCATCATAATACACAGCCTTAGAATATAATTTTTTCCTAGAAGTTTCTATCATGTACGGTTGGCGCTTGCGTTTGATCGGTAAAGCAAACTTTTGACGTATCCGGCGTATTTGTAATTTTATGTCGTGTTGAAACGAATTAAACGAGAACAATCTTATAGCACGAATCTTTTTCCTTATTCAAGGTAATTCTCTAATTTAAAAAATAGATATCTAACCAAGTGTAAGAAAAATCTGTGAAAGTTAGTTATGGGAGGGATCTCGTAATATCTCGTAATCATTTTTTTCAAAAAGATAGCTAAACTACTGTAAGTGATAGTTTTACATCTTTAAGTTAACAAACACTATGAAATTATCAAAAAGAAACATTATTTCAGAAATTTAATGTACAGATTTTATTTTTAAATAAAGATTATATGGTACACTAGGTAAAAGTATAGTTTAGGGTACCCCTTGGCGATTTTTGGCCGTACATGGATACCTATTTTGTGCAGTTCTTTGACTCGTTATTTCGGCAAAAATCGCCGCTACACAAAGCCAAAATAACAAGAGAAACAATTGCACAAACTCGGTATCCATGTACATATCGATTTATTTTCACTTAAAAAAAAAATTCCCGAATTGTACAAAAATGGCATTGCGCACTTCTTTAACTTTATCCATGTACATGTCAACCTATTTTCACTTAAAAAAAATCCCCGAATTGCACAAACTTGCATTGCGCATTCCCTTTACTTTGTCCATGTACACATCGATATATTTTCACTTAAAAAGTCAAAGGAGCACCAAATTCTACAATATAGGCAAACAAAAAATACATAATCTTGATAAAATACATTTTAAACCAAACAATAAAATAACATAAAAAAGGAAAAACATGTTATACATTTAAGCACTACCAAAAGTAAATATTCACTTACTATGACTTTCGAGTTTGCTTCATACACCCAGAGCCACGTAAAAATCAAAATATCAATCATACTTAAATGACGTTTTTCAAACCAGGTACTCTTTCTGATTGAACGCTTCACATAGTGACCATCTGAACCTTTCTTCCTATTCAAATCCATCTAAACGGTTTTTACGTTCGACTAGACTCATATCCATCCTACATACAGGACACTTATAATGGCTACTAAGTAAACCTTCAATCAATTAAAGCTCTTATCCCCTTTCGCTCCAAACCGTACAGAAACTTTAAATTAATCTTACTACATCCGGCCATTCTACCATCTAAAGAATCAAACCAACACACACCACAAAAATGCTTACAAAACATCCCATGATTCAAAATTTCCCAGAATCATGCACCTGATTATGTCACAATAGGGTTTCCATAACATTCAACTACTCGGGTTACCATAAATGAAACAACAACTTGGCGATAAATCAAACAACTTCACCATAATACAAGGGATACCTTAAAGTCTACTCTATCCAGTACACTATACATCCAGTATAATACATTACTGTTATTCTCCCCATCTACTTAGTAATCTGTTTTCACTTTAAAAAAAAAAAAAAAATTCAGATACTTATATACTATCCAGTTGACTGTCAAAGTAGTGTGATTTATAGTTAATTATGGATGATTGTGCCCTTTAGAATTTTGCAGTAATGATTGGCAGCTGACAGCAGTTGCCGAAATGTCTGCCAGCAGTCGACGGGATAATACATAAGCACCAAAAATCAGAAAATTGCAAAATTCGGTTTAATCATAGTTTGTGGTATATACGGGATTGGGCGACATTATGATGAGCAGTAAAAGAGTCATTTTGGTATTGGCGACTATTTTCAAAATCATGTCACGGCTGTACCCTATACTAGGATTTTGTCCAAAATTCAGAATTGTGCACAACCTGAGCATTGCATATATTAAACATTATACATATTACGACAAAATTCCGATTATATCATAATTACCAGTTTTCTCTTCATGTAGGTAACAGTCTCTTCTTGTTTGAATTTGGTAATTACCTAAACTCAGCATTACACACTATCTCTGATCAGAGCTAATCTTTGGAACATGGTAACGGGTAGTTCGGCGACATTTTGGTAAGGCGATAAAGGTTACTAGCTAGGACTTTAGCAGTATACATGGATAAAGTCAAGAGTGTGCGCAATGCCATTTTTGTGCAATTCTGGGATGTTTTTTTAAGTGAAAATAGGTCGACGTGTACATGGATGATACTGTGTATGTGCAATTCTTAAAAACTCGGCAAGCAGTGGGCGATTCTGCATTTTCTCCCAATGTCACACCTAATCTTCGTCATGATTAAACACTTTTATTCCATGAAAGTTCTAGCATAAGCGTAATTCGCCTAGCAGATTGTTGAAAAAAAAATGTTGAGTTAAAAAAAAAATGGCTTTACTTCGTAAAAATAAAATGGCTTAAAAAAAAAAAAAAAAAAGAAAAAAGAAAAACTACCAGGTTGCTGTAGCAGGGTTGGTCGGCAAAAAATTGCCAAGTTACCATAATCCAAAGATTAACCCTGATCAGTTATAAGTAAGTTAAGGATTATACGATACGTATAAAATAGCTAAAATGGTTATAAAACAAGTATAAGATAAATTAAATTGTACAACTAAGAAAGCTGCTGGATGATTGAAAAATCTGTTATTTCCCAATATTATATGTTTAAGATCTATTTAGTAAGAGTTGGGGAAGAAAGAAGTGTATAACATCCACTGATTTTCCATCTAGATACAGAAGGTGTATGATATTATTTATACAAAGTTTTAAATCAATGTACAAAGAAAATTTGGAAAACATCACCTTCTGTCAAACTTGAGATGTAGCTGGTTCTCACTGGTTTCTCAGTAGCGATTCCTAAAATATTTTTAATTTGTTGAAATAGTTGTTAAACTTCAGTTTTAATATTTATTTATACATTTTGTCATTACATAGTAGCTAATTTCATCTTTTATTTATGCAGCAAACGGATTCTTTAAATTTTCGTTTTTATTGCTGCCTGTAAACAATCCAAGTTATCCTATATTTAGGGGTCCTGTTAGATTATTGGCGAGTTGAATACTAGAATCTGTATACTGGCATCGCCACATAAATTCACAAAATAAGAGTAAAAAATATCTTCTGTAGCGACATTCGACTGTACACATTTCCGACGTCAAACCATACGCATTTCCTTCCTACAAACAGGACACCTAATAATGGCTACTAAGTAAACCTTCATTTACACATCAGTCAAGTAATGCTCTTTTCCCCTTTCTTTCCAAATCATATAGAAACTTCAAATGAATCTTACCACATTCAGCCATTTTACCGTCTAAACCACCGGTCGCCAACTGGTGGTCCGCAGAAAAATTGGCTCATTATTTATATTTTTACGAAGATTCAGTTTAAAAAATGATGAGTAACAAATCTATTATGGAATATGCATTGTACGTTTTTTAGAATTTTAGCTACTACTTTTAGCAATTATTATCTTCTAATTCAGAATCTGAAGATTCAGAACTACTATATGAAGAACTCTAATAATTTATAGTTGTTTCACTGTCATCGTTGGAAAAATCCATAGATGGATCATTAATAAATTTAGATATTTCTTCTTCAGAAAGATAATGTGGACTTTTAGTCATGGCTACACAAATGAATCTAAAAGTAAAACCCATGCTAGAATATCTCCCATAAAATCCCATCCTAAAATAGAATTAAAACTATAAACAACCACTTCAGAATGAACTAAAAGGCTCTTTACCAAGGGTTTCCCTTTTCACCTGCTAGCACGTGTTTATGTTTACATTCGCGTAAATCCAATAAATCACAGGCACTTGACGACCCCATTCTGACCTCAGAGAATAGAACCTCAGAGAGAGAAATACTAATGTAGGAGAGTAATCTTTTGAATGGAATATAGACTAGTAACGCCATCTGATAGTAAATATTTCGCTTCTAAAGCATGATGCAACTGTGCGGCGATTGTCCTGTGCTGTAATGCAAGGATGCGGCGTTAGGCTCTGAAGGACATCTATCGCTGACGCATATTTGCGGCGTTCATCCCAAACGGGTTAAAATTATTATTATTAATACAGTCAAAAGTCGTTAATCCGGACTTGTCGGGACTTCGGCGATTCCGGATTATCGATTTTTCCGGATTATAGATCATCAGTTTAAATCTGGTAAGATGGCATGCAGAAATTATAAAATTAAAAATATGAAACGGTAATTTATGAAATAAAGAACAATTATGATCTAAAGGGTATCAAAATTTACAAAAAAAAAAAAGGCTTAATATTTATTTTTTTACTTTATTAAACATTCTTTCAATGTAAGTTGTTTAAGTTGCTTCGTTTTATCTGATAATACTTTCTCTTTAATTCTATAAACAGACATAATTTCTTGTTCAGTTACAACGTTCCGCTGTTCAAGTCCTATAATTGCTGTGTCGAGAATACCAACTAATTTGTCAATCGAAATTTTTTCGTTTTCAATAACCTCTGTGTCACTTTCTTCACTATCGGAAGCGTATTATAATGACGAGGAATTTGATTTAAATCATATCAAAGACGGAGTACATGGAGATGAAATACTACATTTAGTAAGGAATTATAAGCCAAATAAAATAAAAACATCTGCCCTGAAGATAAGGATAGTGCTGACAGATCAATTCCCAATTCATTGCGCGCCGTGTATTCCCCCCCTTGCCGCAGAGCAGCAGGATATTGATAAACAGATTTCGGTGTGGTTAGAGAAACAAAGGATATGCTTTTATCGATTTTTTTTTGCAGCAATTCCACTTTTTGTTTGATGGACATCGAAACATACTTTCGCTTTGTAGATCCTTTGGGAGCTCCATCATCGGCATTGTAAATATATATCAGTGATTCTATTTGACATAATCGAAAGTTCAAGCTTATTTTTATAAAATTGCTC